AAAAATATATATATATTCTTTTTCAGATTCTTTTCCATTATAGGCTATTATAAGGTGTTAAGTAGAGTTCCCTGTGCTATACAGTAAGACCTTGTTGTTTATCTATTTTATATACAGTAGTGTACATATGTTAATCCCAAATTGCCAAGTTCTCTCTCCCCCCATCTTTCCCTTTTGGTAACCATAACTTGTTTTCTATGTCTGTGAGGCTATTTAATCCTTGAAATCTTTATTCTTTCTCCATATTTTTGCTACTACATTTTATCACACCAACTTCTTTCATTAAACTAAGGACGACTTGGTAATTGTTATACAGTAATAGTTAAAATGATGGCATCCACGTTAGCCAGGTAAGACAGGAAACTGTTAAGAAACAATTCTCGAAGGCATTTCTGCACATCTTATATCAAGTTTTGTTCTGCATGCTCTCTTCAAGGATGTCAGTAGAGCAAACAGCTTTGGAAGATATAAAGAGTGTCTCCTGCTGGAGAATTGGAAGACAGATTTGTTTCCTGACCAAGATAATAAAGATAATGTCAGCTTCTGGGGCAAATGTTGGGCAGGTTTGCTAGTAACTCTTAGAAGATTGGGGTTTCCTAGGCTTAGAGTTTCTCAAAATGTACAAAAACCCACCATATACAGCATTCATGAGGGCCACCTCATATCACCCAGTGGGACTCGAAGGGCAAAGCAACATGACTAACAAAGTCATTTGTCTCTGAGCTGGAAGCCTTCTGTCTTTTATGAACCTGTGGCTAGCTACGTGTCAGCTTGCAGGAAGAGTAAGACCTCAGAGTCTTCACAGTTCTTGATAATAACCTCTTTATGCCTCAGTGTCCCTGCCTGTAAAATGGAGAAAGGTTGCCTACCTCACAGAGTGAGTGTGCTAATGAAATGGAATAATAATACACATACAGAGCTTCAAACCAGCCTGAGCTGCTTAGCTGTATTTTCGTGAGTATTTGGTGACTCCTGATGACCTGCTTGCCAAACCAAGTAGCCTGCTCTCAGGCTCAGTTCTCACTGGGGGCTTTGCAGAACAGATACCAGAGGTCATCCCCTCCATCTTGGAAATTCCCGATCCCACACTGACTCTGCACCAAACTGATTTTCTTCTTACATTTTTGTCTCCCTCTGGTTCTTTGCTGAAATGTCACACACACACATACACACAAGAATTAACATAAGGAGAATGTTTTGCACATGTGCGAAGGCAGTCCTAAATTGCCACAAAATACTAATTAACATGACAACTACAGAAAACCAGCTTTTCTAAAAAGGAGGAAGGAAGGTCATAATTGGAATGAGGGTGTAGGGAGAGTCATGAGATCTTTACCGAAAGGAGATAAGAGTTATAAGAGTTATAAGATAAGAGTTATAAGTTATAAGGCTATTTACAATAGCCAAGATATGGAAACAACCTAAATATCCACCAACAGAGGACTGGATAAAGAAGCTGTGGTATATTTACACCATGAAATACTACTCAGCCAAAAAAAAAGAATAAAATAATGCCATTTGCAGCAACATGGGTGGAAATGGAGGTCATCATTCTAAGTGAAGTAAGTCAGAAAGAGAAAGAAAAATACCATATGTAGAATTTCTTTTAAAAGGCACAAATAAACTTATTTACAAAACAGAAACACAGTCATAGAAAACAAACTTACGGTTACCAAGTGAGGAAGGGGGTGGAAAGGGATAAATTGGGAGTTTGAGACGTGCAGACACTAACTACTATATATAAAATAGATAAACTGTATAGCACAGGGAACTATATTCAATATCTTGTAATAACCTATAATGAAAAAGAACATGAAAACGAATCTATGTATGTCTATGTAGGACTGAAATATGATGCTGTACACCAGAAATTGACACAACATTGTAAACTGACTATACTTCAATTTTGAAAAATGTGAAAGAAAAAAAAAAGAAACCTACAAAACATTGAATCACTCACTTATGTAGATGGCCAATATTTATAATTCTCTAATGTCTAGTTGTAATAAAATATTTGCAAAAAATTACTGGAAAGAAAACAGAGGAAACAGTGGCTGTAAGCTAGGTGGCCAAGTGACCGTTGAAACGGTGCGGAATAACAGAAATAAGGCAAACTTTCACTGTCAGCAGACCCCAGGAATCCCAGCCCCGGCTTTCAGTAGTTGTAAGAACCTGGGTGAGTTACTCAACCTCACCAAACTTCAGTTCACTTACTTGCCTCCCAAGTCAGGCAAGAACACTCACCTTGGAGAACCGTCGATGGGCTACCTCAATAACTCGTATCTATAATGGGTACGACTATTGCAGGAGTGAAGTGCTGAGGAAGTACTTATTCAGCATGTAATGAAAGGGCTAACGGACATTTCTGAGTATTTCCCAAAAGGATATAACATCTTGTGATGGGGTACTATGCTTGCTAAATACAGCATTCCAGAACCTAAACCCTGGCTTCATAAAAACTCAAGGTGCAGAAAACTCCTTCATGGCAGAAGTACATAACTCAGTGTCAGGCTCACATAGACGCTTACTTGATTGAATAAACTTACCTGTAGCAGAAAATCAAAGAGGGCCATCTTGGACCACTCGTGGTGATGCACATCTGTACAGCCCCACTCGGGTCTGGGCACCCGGCCGTTCTGCCAGCACTTCTGCTTCAGCGACTGCTGATAAGTTCCCCAGGTGAGCTTCACAGAAGAGTGGGTCTCGTTGCTTGTCGGACACAAAGATGGGTCCCAGAGAATCACCGGCCGTGGGCGGCCATCTACAGAATCCAAAAAGCAAACACACATTGAGCTTGCCGCTGGCTCAGTGTGCACTCCTGACCACCGTGCCCTCCTTTACAGCGTCACACTGTCACCTGCGACGTGCCGCAGTGTGATCAGACGACATGAATGGTCCTTTTATACCTCAGTGATGCTTCCTGGTACAAGTTTTATAACAGAACGTTAGTGCACAATCCTTTGTCTTCTAAACATTTAATATTTTTATAACTCAATACTTCCTGATAGAAGTCTTGTAACACAGAATGTTATTGTTCGACAAGGAGAGAAAAGTTTGGTTTTTTGGTTTTGTTTTTTTAAACAAGATGCCTTACAGATGTGGCAGGAATAGACCACTAACCACCAATAACAATGTCCTCTAGTTAATGTGGTTTTCTTCCACATCTAAAAGCAGCCGCCCTGAAAAAGGAAAGAATCCAGACATTTATAATTGTCTATTCAGTGTCTGAGTGGAGCTGCTCTCTATTTGTAAAAACAACTGTCTGATTTTCTAAGGCCACAGCATGATGTCAGGAAGAGAAGGGATTTTTAGAAGTCGCAAATTTAACAGTGAAATTGTATGGTTCACACCAGCAACTATAAACTCCAAAGAAAGGAAAAAGAAGCAGGAGGATTTTTTCTTCTTTTCTGATAGAAACAGTGGTGCTCCAGGTGATGGATGATTTATTCACTTACAGGTGAGGTCACAGCCTCACAAAGTTTAAGTAAATGTCATTTCTTCAACTGCCTGTGCATGGGTGACTTTTCCAAAAATTGATCACTCAAATGTTGTTGCCTCATTCTGGACGGTTTAGAAATTTCATTGGTAAACAACATGAAATGACGCTTTAAACTTAAAACCAAAAGATCACTCTCAAGCCCCCACGTCTGCCAAATGAAGTCACTGAGAGGTGAGGTGAGGTAAACCAGCTTCGCTTGTAACTGAAAAATCAGAATGGTGCCTTGGGAAAAAACAACAACTAAGAGACAAAGATCTGAAAAAAAAAAAACCCATTTAACTCATTCTCAACAGGCCTGGACTATAGAAGACTGAAATTATGGCTGGAATGTCAAGACAGCACAGGGATTTTTAAAGCTCTTCTAAGTAACCTGAGAGGTTCTCATTCTATAACTGTTTGTTTTTTTGTTAAAGACATTTATTTTACCCCCTTGCTGGTTTGCCTTCTCACTGAGTTCTTATCTCTGGTCTTTAATACAAGAAACGGTCACCCTCTCTAACCATTCTTGAATGTGGTGTTACAGCAACCTCGATAATTTCAATAGCATTCACTTAATCATTCTAATCACCTACTTTCCTGTTTTGTTCAAAATAAAAATCTTCCTCCTTTTGGCCTTCCAATTTAGGCCAGGGCACATAGAATGTCCTTTAGATTGTGGAAAACAGGCTATAGTCATTGGTGTACAATTAAGAGAAAAATAGAGAAGAAACATAAGCCATAACTAAAGAACTTAATTGTTATCTTCATCCTTTTTGTTTGGTTTTATTTTACTAAATGATTTGGGGTTGCTGGGACCTAATTATCTTAGATATCAGATAAACACAATTTTAAACGTATATGCTCCAAATGGTATGCCAATTTAAAAAATAGTAATAATAAATTCGAGGGAAAAGCAGTCCATTGTGCAATGGGAGACATGTATAAACCAGCGTAACCAAATGTGCATGGAAGACACAACAGGGCTTTCAAAGACACGGGCATTTCAGACTTATCCAGGTCGACCAAGAGGCTTTTATCGGTCAGTGTTTTTGGAACAAAGTCGTCCGCAGATAGTGCTTTGCATTCTTAGGGTCAGGAAGCGTTCAGAGGGAGTTGAAATCTGACACTGAACTTCAACAACACAAGCCAATACACGAGACAGGCCAGCATTCGCCTCAGCAATTCATACAAGGCCCTCAGAGAAATGAGGAAATGATGCACAAAAACAACTGAAACAGGTAACAACTTCTGGGCTGTTTCTCTTCCCTTTAGAAATGTTTGTTTCATAGTTTAAAAGCAATTAAAAGTAAGTCTACTCATTTTAGAAAATGTGGAAAATTCTTAAAATGTGTAGCTGAAAGATGACATGATACTACATATAGAAAATGCTAACGCTCCCACCCAAAATAAAAAAAAACTATTAGAACTAAAATATGAATTCAGTAAAGTTGCAGGATATAAGATTAATATATAGATATCTGTTGTTTTCTTATATACTAAAAATAAACTTTCAGAAAGAGAAATTAAAGAAACAAACTCATTCACAATTATATCAAAAAAAATAAAACACCTAGGAATAAACTTAACCAAGGAGGAGAATGACCTACATGCTGAAAACTATAAAACACTGATGAAGGAACTGGGAGATTATACAAGGGAATGGAAAGATACCCCACGCTCTTGGACTGGAAGAATTAATGTTGTTAAAATGGCCACACTGCCCAAGGCAATCTACAAATTTAATGCAATCCTTATCAAATTACCCAGGATATTTTTCACAGAAGTAGAACAAATAATCCTCAAATTTATATGGAACCACAAAATGCCCTGAATCGTCAAAGCAACCTTGAGAAAAAGGAACACAGCTGGAAGTATCTTGCTCCCTGACTTCAGACTATACCACAAAGCTGTGGTAATCAAAATATTGTTGTACTGGCACAAAAACAGACACAGAGATCAATGGAACAGAAAGCAGCCCCGAAATAAACCCACACACCTACAGCAAATTAATCCATGACGAAGGAGGCAAGAATACACAAAGGAGAAAAGACAGGCTCTTCAACACGTGGTGTTGAGAAAACTATATAGCTACATGGAAAAGAATGAGATTAGAACACTTCCTCATATCATATACAAAAATAAACTCAAAATAGATTAAAGACCTAAATGTATAACCTGAAACCATCAAAATCCTAGAAGAGAACATAGGTAGAACACTCTTTGACATAAATCATAGCTCTGTGATTTGAACTTGTTTCCAAGGGAAAGAAAGAAA